GGAGATGGTGAGGGTGATGGTGTCACAGGCAGCTGCCACCATGCTGACAGTGGAACTGTAGGAGCTGTTGAAGAAAGATGTCCCGCCTGGTCAGGAGTCTGAGGGCTTTTACTTGTGCTACTTCTTGGTCTTCAAGAAGTCAGGCAAAATGAGGCCCATTCTTGACCTGCCCCTCAAATAGATAATGAAGAAGCCATTCCACATGTTCACTGTGAAGCGGGTCGCCCTGGAGACTGATTCACATCCACTGACCTAGTAAATGCATACTTTCATGTGATTCTCTTTCCAAGGCACAGGGTTTCAATACAAGCAGTTGCCCTTCAGTTATTCTCTGGCTCCACGCACATTCTCCAAATATATTGAGACAGCACTGGAACTGTTGCACAGGAGGGGAATCAGAATCCTTTTTTAACTAGACAATCTGATTGTGATGGCACCCTCCAGGCAGCAGGCTGCATCTCACACGGTGGAGCTTGCCCAACACCTGACCCAGCTGGGGTTTGCAATAAACTGGAAAAAGAATTCACCGCTGCCCTCTCAGATAATCATTTATCTGGGGGTACAGCTGGACTGTCTCAGCATGAAGGTGAAACTGTCCCCTGCCAGGCAGGAGGCGCTCTCCTCTCTCCTACAGCATGTCACTCCTCACATGACTGCTCTGTCTGTGATGCACTTACTGGGTATGATATCAGCCAGCCATGTAGTGGTCCTTGTCAGTCTCCTCCACATGAGGAAGCTCCAGAGATGGTTTGGCTATCTCTGTCACAGCCCCCCCCCCCGTCAGCTGGCCTCACTTTTAAATCCATGAGGATATAGTTTGGTCGTGCTGAGACCAAACCCTGCATACATGCTGAAAATAATATCTTCTTTTCAGTCCCTGGATGGTTTCTTTCCCCCTCCCCACGGAAATGAATCAGAAGAGGCGCATCATACCCTCTTCTCAGTGTGCACTTATCATTTGCTATGCGTGACACAGGTGTCAGCTGGGAGAGATCCCACGTCGGGCATCAGAGCTCACTCTACAAGGGCCATAACCCTCTTCCCCAGCACTTTTTAGTGGGATGGCTGTGGACATTTGCACTGCTGCCTCCTGGACTTCTCCTGTATCCCTTCATTCATTTCCGGAATACCTCTGAATTTTCACTTGCCCATTCAGTAGTGAGTGTTCTGTGTGACAGGAGGGTTTCCCCCAAGGCATGGGTGGTTGGCAGCTGCATTGTGTTTTGCTTTGGTTCTTCATTGCTTCTACATTTGACTGTTACCATGCGTAACTATCATCTGCCTGCTCTCTCAGCACAAGGTTGTTGATGTGTGTTTACTAGATGCACACATTCAATGGGCACCCTTCCCTGTGTAACGGGCGCTGCTATGTATGGCACTCCTTGCACGCCTGTAGGATCTCGTATACTCTGCGTTGTGTGTAGGCTAAGATGGACACTGACCACTGGTTAACACACAGGTTGCCTTTTATTGTCCCAGAGTGACGATGGATGGCACTTCTCTCAGCTTGACAATGTGAACTGGCAATCTGGTAATCTGCAACAAACAGAATTAAATAAAATACACGGAGGTACTATACAAAATAGGACAATGGTTATGTACCATAACCCAAGGTTCTATGAGTATAGGCATATCTCTGTAAGCAAACGGCCCTGCAGACTCCATCTCAGCCAGCTGAAGAAAAAGCACTGGCATAAGTAGCTCAGGTCACATAGGTATTTAATACAGTGAGAGTGGACCTGAGTGGGGTCAGCCCAGTGTAGCGCACAAGGCGTGAAAGTAATCTCTTCAGGGTATAAGCGCAAGGATATAAACCAAATAGTGACAGCTCGTAGAAGGCTACACCTATACTCATAGAAGCTATGGTTATGGTACATAACCATTGTTTTGTCTAACACTGGTCAGGTGTCACACCACTATCTGGAACCAATTAGACTTTGTATGCAACAGGCTATGTGTTTGTGTCAATAGAGACTACGTGTATGTGTGTGTATGTATGAAGTGTGCATGTATGTGTAGATGTGTGTAGAGACTGAAGATGTGTGGAATGTATGGGAGAATGGAGAAACACAGTGTTAAACAGTACAAATACACAGATAGCATGAGTATTTAGCAGCATAGCTATTTATTTTCTATTGCAATTCATTCATGGCACTGCTATATATACAATCAAAAACCTTCCCAATAAAATGTATTGGCATTTGCAGTTTAAAAGCTAGGAATATAATTTTAAAGAGAGAGGGTTGGCTGATTTGTCCCCATAAACTGAAACTAAAATCAAAATATTCAATAAGGATTACAGTAAAAACACAGAGTGCTTTTTCTTTACTTCACATTCTAAGTAGACATTCAATATAATATGGGCAATGGCTTGTGAATGCATAAGGTGCTGTACATTGCAAGTGTAAACTGAATAAATTATGGAAAATTATATTGGCACCACAAAAGATTTTCCACCATATTTTCTACATTCTCATTCTCTTCTTCATCATATTCATTTTGGTATTCTTCTCTGGTTTCAGAAAAATGATATAACATTTTGGGATAAAAATAAGTTTTCAAAATTGCTTTGATGCCCCTTTCTCCATCATATTCTTTTTTGTATTTTTCTCCGGTTTCAGTAAGATAATATAACATTTCGGAATAAAAGTACAAATGAGCAGTCCAAAACTGGAGGCCAGAATAGCAAATATCTCTACAGCAACACTGAACTTCCCAGGAGAGCTGACATATGCTGGAATAAAAGTGATCCAGACTGCACAGAATATCA